ATAATATTGAAGCCAAAAGATGCAAAGTTAATAATGATAGTGCAACTTATTTGTGGCACTGCCGTTTAGGTCATATTGGTGTAAAGCGCATGAAGAAACTCCATGCTGATGGGCTTTTGGAATCACTTGATTATGAATCATTTTGATGCTTGCGAACCATGCCTCATGGGCAAGATGACTAAGACTCCGTTCTCCGGAACAATGGAGCGAGCAACTGACTTATTGGAAATAATACATACTGACATATGCAGTCCGATGAGTGTTGAGGCTCGCGGCGGGTATCGTTATTTTCTGACCTTCATAGATGATTTGAGCAGATATGGGTATATCTACTTGATGAAACATAAGTCTGAAACATTTGAAAAGTTCAAAGAACTTCAGAGTGAAGTGGAAAATCATTGTGACAAGAAAATAAAGTTTCTACGATCTGATCGCAGAGACAAATATTTGAGTTACGAGTTTGGTCTTCAATTAAAACAATGTGGAATAGTTTCACAAAATCGTGCCACCTGGAACACCATAGTGTAATGGTGTGTCCGAACATCGTAACCTTACTTTATTAGATATGGTGCGATCTATGATGTCTCTTACCGATTTACCACTATCGTTTTGGGGTTATGCATTAGAGACAGCTACATTCACATTAAATAGGGCACCATCTAAATCCGTTGAGATGACACCGTATGAACTATGGTTTGGCAAGAAACCTAAGATGTCGTTTCTTAAAGTTTGAGGTTGCAATGCTTATGTGAAAAAGTTTCAACCTGATAAGCTCAAACCCAAATCGGAGAAGTGCATTTTCATAGGATACCCAAAAGAAAATGTTGGGTACACCTTCTATCACAGATCCGAAGGCAAGATATTCATTGCTGAGAATGGATCCTTTCTAGAGAAGGAGTTTCTCTTGAAAGAAGTGAGTGGGAGGAAAGTAGAACTTGATGAGATAATTGTACATGCTCCCTTATTGGAAAGTAGTTCATCACAGAAATCTGTTCCTGTGACTACTACACCAATTAGTGAGGAAGCTAATGATGATGATCATGTAACTTCAGATCAAGTTACTACCGAACCTCGTAGGTAAACCAGAGTGAGATCCGCACCAGAGTGGTACGGTAACCCTGTTCTGGAGGTCATGTTACTTGACCGTGACGAGCCTACGAACTATGAGGAAGCGATGATGAGCCCAGATTCCGCGAAATGGCTTGAGGCCATGAAATCTAAGATGAGATCCATGTATGAGAACAAAGTATGGACTTTGATTGACTTGCCCATTGATCGGTGAGCCATTGAGATTAAATGGATCTTCAAGAGGAAGACGGGCGCTGAGAGTAGTGTTACTATCTACAAAGCTAGAATTGTCGCAAAAAGGTTTCGACAAGTTCAAGGTGTTGACTACGATGAGAGTTTCTCACTCGTATCTATGCTTAGGTCTGTCCGAATCATGTTAGCAATTGCCGCATTTTATGAAATCTAGCAAATGGTGATGAAGAACTCGATCCGAGGACGGATCTTCCCCAAGGGAGGGGAGATGATGCGGAGCATCCCACGACCATCCACATGGACGCCACCTCAACTATCCAAGCTCCAAGTGGACCAATGACAAGGGCTAGGGCACGTGCTATTCAATCTAAGGTGACATCACTCCTACTTGAGTTTTCCCCTTCTTCAAGTGAGACATGGCTACTGCCTAAGTCTGAGATACTATGTGTCATTAGGTACAACGCTCAAGACTCGGAGCTGAGGACTGTAGAAGAAGAGACAGGCGTCAACACTCTGGACAGCCCGGAACTTCCGGCCAGAGCCCGGAACTTCCAGCCCCCGGACCTTTCAGCTGACCCGGAGCTTCCGACCGCTGATGACTTCGACCAGCCCAGGCGTGCCAACTCTCGGGTTAGCCCGGACCCCGTCCCGGACCTTCTAGCGCCCGGAACCTCCGGCCTGCCCGGACCTTCCGGCCCCCGGATGCCAGCACATCTCCACCGCGCCAACTCTCTGGTTAGGCCGGACCCTCCCCGGAACTTCCGGCCCTGCCTGCGCGCAGCCACTTGGGCCGAGGCCCGTGTACCCTTTCGTCACCTAGACTATATATACTCTATCCCGTACAACTTTCTAGGGTTAGCATTGGTTTAGATCATTGAGAGATAGAGCATTGCTCATCCATATTGGATCTACTCCACGAGAGAGACCGCAGCCCCTCTGCGGAGAAGATCCACCTTGGATTCAAGACCCCTTTACAGGAAGATCCCCTTGTGGATTCAAGACCTCCTCACGGAGAAGAACCGGCTACCCTTTTGTATCGTCCTTAGTTGTCCGTGGATTCGTGTATCGTTCTATGTACCCGAGGATCTAGCACATGTGTGACTTGTTCTTGTTAGTTTGAGTGTTCCTCTTCTGTTTCCCCTTGTGTTTTCCCCCGTTTTTCCTCGTTCCCCTCTTCGTGTTCATCGTGTTCTTCGCGGGATCCGCTCCTTTCGTGAAAGATCGGGCCACTAGGGTTCTACCCTACATCATACTGCTAACGAGGCATTACGTGGTTCTCCTACTGGATTGATAACATTGGTTCTTAACCGAGGGAAATTTTTATCTCTATTGTACTGCATCATCCCCTCCTCTTCGAGGAAATCCCAACGCAGCTCACAAGTAGCATGGCGTAGCACCTATAATAAGCTATGGATGAAATTTATGAAAGGGCATCTTGTATATTTGGTCCATGTCCTTGTATGTCATCATGGGACTTCAAAGTGCTAAACACTCTATTAGAAACACCATTCTGGTTCCCTTTGCGCGCGCTTTCATCTCCATGGTTGATCTTACTCTAGTGATAATCCCTATTGTCCATTTTAGGCCCTTCATTAGCAATCAACACAAATGTATCTATTTTAGGCAACATCATATTCTCACAGACATTAGAATTATTGCCAAGAAATAAAAGTACCTGATAATTTAATTGGCGTGCGCAAGCTCTAGTAATTGGTACAGTATGTATAGTAGTACGGGCTGCGGGTGTAACTATGGTAGTGGTGTCCTCATCATCCTCCCCTTGTTGAAATGAAGTTGTCCTCGACAGAAGCTCGTCTTCCTCACCCAAAAAAGAATTCAAATCTGCAATGTTAAAAGTGGGACTAACCCCAAAATCTGCTTGCATCTCAAGTTTATATGCATTATCATTTATTTTTTCTAACACCTTAAAAGGACTATCAGCACTTGACATTAGCTCTGACTTGCGCAAATCAGGAAACCTATCCTTGCGCATATGTAATCAAACAAGATTTTCAGGTGCAAAGACAACATGTTTTCTACCCCTATCTCCGCTCCTACCAGCGGAAGCCTTCGTTGATGTCCCCGCTTGCCCGACGCCGGCCGTCCCCTCCTTTAAATCCGGCGACGCGCAAGGCCACAGCCTAGTGCCCAGTCGACGTCGCAGCTCTCCTACATCTTTCTCCACCATCCGCCGTTCCGATCGCATTACGCCTTCGCCTACCCCCGTATGCGTCGCCGTCGCCTTTGCCATCTCCGCCTCCGCCCCAATGTGGCCCCGCCCGCGTGAAATGGTTTGGCTCCTGCTGGCGGGAAGCCGATGTCGCTGTTGCAGGGGGAATGCCACCATCCGTCGCACCAATCGCCGGACGCCTTCGCCGTTGTCCCTGCCTGCCCAACGCTGTGTGGTGTGGATAAGAGAGTTGGGCGGGAATGAGGGGAAGAGGGCGAGGGAGTGGTTCGGGTGACTTTTGCTTTGTCCCGAACGATTGCGAGGTGATTACGTGGCAAGCGCAAACCGTCAAGATTCGTGCGACGATAACGAGAGAGTTCGATACGAGAAGCAAAAAAACCAGTCCTTCGGGACTTATTGATTCAGTAGCATTTTTGCCACCGTGTAATCTAAGCCTAGCAGGATGCCGAGGCAACACATGTATGGTCATGCCATAACCCACAGTGGTAGTCTCTCCGTCCGGATTTATCGGGCCCGTGAGCAAAATAGGGGCATCCGTTATTGTAAGTCCCCTCCTCGATTTAGCACTAAAAAATGTTAGCTGTGCCCTCCAATTAATACCAAGCTTTTAATTCAGACCATAATACTACCCAATGCATGTCGTTCCTTCCTCCACCCATGGGCCAGGCAACCGAGACTTTTGCTTTGGCCAACTTGCAGCGAGCGCCCTTATAAGGCAGGTACCGGTTAGCGTTTAATTTATTTTATTTATTGCATAAACTAGCACACATAATTAATAGATTCTCTTGATACCTGTGTTTTGGTCGAAGGGCCCAACAAACCAGGACGGAGGGAGTATGCATTTGTCGCTTAAGTCGGAACATGGCCCGCATGGCATACACACTAGCGGGCATACCACACTCCATCTCTTTCTCCGCCGTGCCTTCACAATGCCGTGTGCAACCACGAGTGACTATCGAGTAGCCCCACAAGCTCCGGGTCCACTTGTCATGGCCATACCAAGAAGCCAAACGGAAAACCTCGCACACAACTGTCAGTAGATAGAGCCATCAAATCCACGCGCGCATTCACGCCCGCATCCGAAACTATTACACTCCGACCCACCAAAAGCAGCACCCATTAATCTACCCCTTTTCCGCTTTCCCATTAAAATCGACGAATTCTTCGCCGTAGAAAGCAGATTCGCGAACGGAAACAGCAGCACCGTTGCGTGTTCATGTACTAGCACTATAATTCTTGCAATTTGTTGTGGTTTCTTCCCTCTTCGCTTCGATCAAACCGCGATACGAGTTGATATAAACAAGAAAACGTGTTAGTGCTGTCCCCAATCGGTGGATTCCGAGTCCGATGTCTCGATCGACATTTTAATTCCGATTTGTGAGTTTGCTCAACACTTTTACCTAGGGTTTCCGATTCCTCGCCTCAAGGAAATTTACAGAATCGTAATCTTTGTCCTTTTCTTTATCTTCCTCTTCGCTTCAGATTTTTGGTGAATTGTCGTGGATTCCGCGGCCGCGGGGGCGCAGTGTCAAAGGTGTGACCAGTCGCGATGCAGTACCACCACCGCAGCCGCCTGCCGCCGCCTCCTCCACCGCCGTTTGGCCGCGGTAGTGGTGCCGTGTACCCCGGCGGCCACAAGCAGCTGTACGCTCCTCAAACTCCTCCTCGGCCCCCGCTTCTTGCGCCGCCGCATCGCAGATACGAGGTGCTCATGGAGGCCGGCCGCCTGGCGGCCGAGTACCTGGTATCCACGGGCGTGCTCCCGCCGTCCTCCCTACAGCGCGGCGGCGGCGACCCGTGGGCTGTTCCTCCTCCTCCACTGCCTCAACCGCCGCAGGAACCCCCCGCATTCTATGACTGGAGGAGGTACGATGATGTATATAGCAATAACCCTGGCACCCGGCCTAGGTGGAACAGTAGCATTACTAGTTGTTGTACTAATAGAGATGATTACAGTAATGGTGGTAGCTACAATGGGAGATGGAAGAGAAAGTATGGGGAGTACAGAATGGGGTATCCAGATCGTGGAAGGGAGAGGGAGAAGGAGAGAGTAAGGTTGAATTCGAATGGTCGACGCTATGAGGAAGATAAGGACGAGGATGGTGCTCCTGGATTTCAGAGGGATCCGCGGTCCAGTGGGGAGAATGACGAGTCTAGGAGATGTGTGACGGATGAGGTGAAAGAGGCGGCACCTTTCATGGAGAAGGCTGTAGGTCAGTTGGAGATGAAGGATACCAGATTGAATGCTGATGTTAGGAAGAATGCTGATGCTCTGCAGGAGTTGCAGGCTGAGAATGAAGGTGAGATGAAAGAGAATAAAATACTGAGTTCAGAATTAGAGATGGACCCTAACGGTGATGTCAATAACACTTCTATTGTAGTTGTTATGGAGGCAGATGCGAAGCTTTTGCCAGATGGTAAGGTTGTGGGTGAGGAAGCTGAAGATAACAACAAAGTTTTGTGTGACCGTATTGCCTTGAATGATGACATGGAAATTTTGGAAAATGGTTTGCATGTCGACAGGAGGAGTTTGCTTAAACGCTGTGACTTTGCAAAAGCTCCAACGAAGCCCAGGTCATGCCATGCACATAGAAAGTCAGTAACTGAAACAGTCGATCTAGTTTCTTCTAGAGAAGGTTCGAAGATGGTAGCTGATGAAGCAGCAAATGAGAGATCTTTGACTAACATCCAGCCAGATAACAGAGAAGATCAAATCTACCAAGAAAGTACTGTCTCTAAGACAGCTTACAAAGAAATAACAATGGAACCTATGCTTCTCCAAGAAAACAAAACATTAGTCGTTACTGAAAATATGAAAGAATACAGGAACGATGCACAACTCCATGTAGTCCAGGAATACAAGGAAGAACAAGATGTATCATCTTTGACAATTTCTCAGAAGGATAACTTGATGCAAGAAAATGACTTATCTCCATTGTCGGCTTCTCGCAAGGGTGGCTTGATGCAAGAAACCAACCTATCTACGTTGACAGGAACGCAGGAGGATATCATGATCGAAGATGCCAACCTATCTCCATTGCCAGATGCTCACAATGATGGCTTGATTGCAGAAACCAACCTATCTCCAATGGCAGATGCACACAATGATAGCTTGATTGAAGAATCTGATCAATCTCCATCGACAGCTTCTCACGAAGTTACCTTGATGCAAGAAACTGACATAACTCAGTCATTATCTTTACATAAAAATAACTTAAATCTGCAATTTAAGGAAGGAGCCCAGATTTGTGATACTGAAATTGTGCCAAAAGAAGTGGGCTTGTTTGAGTTTTCTGATCAGAAGAACATTGTTGGTGTTGATTTGTTTTGTAATGCCGGGGCTGAAACTATCATCCAAATGGAAGAAGAAGAAAAGCTGGATCAATCCAGCTCATTCAGAATACCTAATAATCCTGGCTTTGGCCAACACTCTGCACCAGGATATTCAGTGGAGCCACATAAACAACTGCAAGAAGATTTTGGAGCAAATGTGGGAGACATTGTCGGTGGTACAAATAATTTGTGCCAAGTTTCATTAGACAATAACTCTGTCCAAGTATTTGATATAGAAGATGACATGCCAATTGAAGGTGCTGGCTTTGATTCTTCAAAAGCAAAGTGAGTTGATCGACATGCAGTTAGCTCCTCTATCGGGTTGAATGGAGTTAACCGTTTATGTTTATACCATGTTATAATGATCTAGGAATTACTTGGTAGCTCTTAAGAATAGCATGTCTATTGTTCTCTCATATCTTGCAACGTATCAGGTAGCCTATTGAATAGTTCATGAGCAATATCTGTTGCATTAGACCATCCATCCGCTGTTTGTTAAATTTTCTGCATCATAGGCTTTTGACTTCAAAATATGATGTTCAAACAGGAACGCGATGATATGCTCTAGCATGGATGTCATAATGCACCCTAGCATACATACTGATGATCTTCCTGTAATTGAAGATGGTTACAATCTTACACTTTCTGATTATCTAGTGGCTGATATACCATGCTACACATCATTGCGACCTGATCTTCAAGCTGGTATATGTACCAATGATTCTGAGGTTAGACTTCCTGGTTCTTTTAGATACTCGCCACGGGAAGGTCTTGTAGTGACGTTCTCATGAATAATTTGGTTATTATTTAGTCTTTTACTGCACTAGACGATAGCATACTAAATTTTTGTTTCCTCTTCAGGGCATCCCTGTCATGGATGATCCAATATATGGGTCTCTCACTGATATTGGTAATGGATTTTTGTTCCCCTAATTTTTGCTTTAGCTCTTCGCTTTAGGTCTATGTCCTCTTTGTCTGGTTTTCCCATGTCTCAGATACATACTTTTTTTGTTACCAGTTGCATTTGTTTGTTTGTGGTAAAATGTTGCATCAACATTCCGGTACAAGGCTTTCTGGTTACTGTTCTGGTAAAATTGAATTAATGTTCTGGTATGAATAGATAGATATATCCTGTTATATAGACTGTATCCGCACACCATCCTATGCAGCCCAACAGATAACTAATGAAGTGAATATTTCGAACTCAGCTGTCCATGTGGGAACTTCTCACTGTATCAAGATTCAGGTTAGATTGTCATGGCTGCCCATCAGGTCCAGTAGTTGATCTTTTCCTATCAGTTACAAGTGGACATTTACGCCTGGTGTTTCAGTGAATAAATGGGAGTAACACAAGTTACTCTCAGGTTAGACACTAGCTTAAATTCTTGTCCTTTATATGGATAAAATTATCTTCTTAGAATAACACTAGATTCAAATACATTAATTGTTCGTTGCTGAACAAACTTATCTACACGTTGTGATGCCCTGGAGTACTTGCTTAAGGGTAGTATCATAGTTGTGGGGGACGATGCAGCGATGCTCGAACTGGGATCATCAACCCAAATCGAGGGCCGGGGTCGACATGTCCGACACCATGAGTCAATGTCCGGGACGCGACCCAGACACTAGGATCACAAATCCCATTCAGCAAGCCCAAAACATTGGATCTCTATCCCAACTCCCCATCGCCAGTAGGAAACGGAAGGATTGATTCATGAAGATATCGAGAATTACCAGGTCCAGGAGTCCATGGTGTCCGCCTTCCACCGGCGTGAACGTGTGCCCGGTGGCTGCAGTCCCGCATCCCGCTGCCGCTGTGCAGGACCTGAAAGCCGGGCTCTGTGCAGCCGACCAGGTAAGCCCCCATGGTGGCATAGTTGCGGAGGTGGCGCCGAAGTGCCGAACCGGCGGCTCCCTCTGGTATTTGCCCCTGACTTCCTGAGTTGCTGTGGAAACTTCAGCGGGAGATCTTTTGATGTTTCACACTTTCCGTGAAAAAGTTAACGCTAACGTACATAGTGTAGACCAAGCCATGTAATTAGCGACATGCCACCTACATACAATGGAATCAATTGATTGTAACCTTTTTTCACTCACGGTGATTTAGCCATCCTTATGCACCTTTGCATCTCGAAACTCCCTTCATCTTGGGTCACGTTCCTCGACCCATCTTATCATCCCGGGATCATCGTCCCCAAACTGTTGGGGATGCGTTCCACCTATCAATCGGTCGTGCAAAAGATGTATACCCCGTCGTGCCCTGTTATTGGCCACCCGGTGATCCTCGACCCTCGTTCCCGTCCCTCGACCCAGGAACTTGGCAACTATGGTAAGTCTTGCTATTTGTATCCAGTGCTCCTTGATAATTCCGGGTAAATGTCTGTTCACTGTTTCTTCTGACTGAGCAAGTTTTGAGTACCTGTGCAATGCTCCCACTACAAGAGATGAGATCTCTTGTATCTTTTGTACATTACTCAGGATGAAGTCAGACACCGTCTGCTTGGGTTCCAGGCACATTAGCCCTTTTATGATTTTATCACCCAAAGCTAAACCCCCATTTACTCCGAATCCTAGACCATCTTCCCCTTCCTAAGCCTACGTAGAGAAGTCTAGCTTGCCACATGCAAATTTGTTACCCTTGCCCATGTTTGCTTTGTTAGGAATATGCAACTTGTATTCCCATGAGGCCATAGGCCGATATATATACATGTACAAATGTGAAACATATGCAGGAAACCCCTTATATAACGGGATAAATACAAAGGGGTACATGATTTATAATATAACTCTAACACCCCCCCTCAAACTCATGGTGGCTGAACAACACTGAGTTTGGAGAGATAAAAGCCATGTTGTGCTCTAGTCTGGGCCTTCGTCAGGAAGTCTGCCAACTGTAACTCGGAAGGCACATACTGAAGAGCAATAACCCGATCCTGCACACCAGCGCGTACATAGAAAGCATCAACACCAATGTGCTTGGTGAGCTCATGCTTCACAGGATCACGCGCAATGCTAATAGCACCTGTACTGTCAGATAAGAGCGGAGTCGGTGTAGTGATAGAAACACCAAAATCCTGAAGTAACCACTGTAACCAAGTCACCTCTGCCGTCAAAAGAGCCATTGCTCGCAACTCAGCCTCGGCACTCGAACGGGGAACTGCAATCTGTTTCTTCGTCTTCCAGGCAATGAGAGAACCACCAAGAAAAACACAGTAAGCAGAAAGTGAACGGCGATCTGAAGGATCACTAGCCCACGTAGCATCCGAATAAGCCTGAAGCTGTAAAGAACTGGAGCGAGGAAAGAATAGACGGTGAGAGATTGTGCCCCGAAGATATCGGAGAACACGAAGGAGATGACTATAGTGGACCGATGTGGGAGCGGAGACGAACTGACTCAGAATATGAACCGGATAAGAGATATCCGGACGAGTGACAGCTAGATAGACAAGACTGCCAACAAGATGACGATAACGCGTCGGGTCAGGGAGGGGATCACCATCAGTAGCACAGAGGTGAACATCGAGCTCCATAGGAGTCTCAACAATGCGTTCGTCAGTAAGAGCAGCACGAGCAAGAAGATCCTGGATATACTTTTCCTGGGATATAAAAAAGCCATCAGAGGTAGAAGAGACTTCAATCCCAAGAAAGTAGCGAAGAGGGCCAAGATCAGACATAAGAAACTGCTCACTAAGACGGGCCTTTACAAAGGCAATATACTCGGGTTCATCCCCAGTGATGACCATGTCATCAACATAGAGAAGAAGAAGAGTCCGATCACGAGGAGAAAGGTGAATAAGCAATGCTGGATCATGAGCACTTGCTGAAAAACCAGCAGCAGTGACTACAGAGGCAAAACGCTCAAACCAGGCACGGGGGGCTTGCTTAAGGCCATAGAGAGAGCGACGAAGATGACAGACCATGCCATCAGGAACAGAATACCCAGGTGGTGGCTGCATGTACACCTCCTCACGCAGCTCACCATTAAGAAAAGCATTCTTAACATCAAGCTGAGATATAGACCAGTGGCGTGCAGAGGCAACGGCAAGAAGTGTACGAACAGTGGTCATATGTGCCACAGGAGCAAAAGTCTCGTCATAATCACGACCATGCTCCTGCTGAAAACCACGAGCCACAAGACGAGCTTTGTGACGCTCGAGAGAACCATCGGAGCGAGTCTTAACCTTGTAGACCCACTTACAAGTGATGGGACGGACTCCGGGAGGAAGGGAAACAAGATCCCAGGTACCAGTGCGTTCAAGAGCAGCAATCTCCTCTGCCATCACAAACTGCCATTCAGGATGAACAACAGCCTGACGATAAGAAGTCGGCTCAAGAACAGCAGCACCAGCGGTGGGAAATCCAAAGCGATCAACAGGCGGACGAGGACGAGAACGCAAGCCATAAGTAGGCTGAGAGGAAGATGACGACACATCCACGGAGGCATCCACAGGACGTGAACGACGAGTGTAATGCTGAGGAAAAGATGGAATAATAGAAGGAGAAATCGCCAAGGTAGAATCGAGGGGTGGCGACGAAGAAGTCACCGGAGATGAAGGTGTAGAATCCGGTGACATGCTAGACGAGGAGACCGTGGAAGATGGTGGCACCAAATCGACTAGAGGTGGAGAAGCAGAGGGAGCGGAACGAATAGGCACAGGCTCGACAGGGGTGATAGGTGAGTCAGGAAAAGTGAGGAAAGAGATATCCTCCACTGAAAAGGTCGAGGAAGATGGGCGTGGGTAGAAGGGACGAGACTCATCAAAAGTCACGTCTCGAGAGATACGCATCCGACGACCGATAGGATCCCAACAACGATAGCCCTTATGCTCATCACTGTAGCCTAAAAAGACACACTCAACAGACTGAGCGGTCAGTTTGGTGCGTTCGCGAGGGGCAAGAAGAACATAGCAAACACAACCAAACAAGCGAAGCATCGAATAATCGGGAGAACGATCAAAAAGATGCTCGAAAGGAACACCACCCTGTAGAGCAGCGGAAGGCTGGAGATTGATAAGATAGGTGGAGGTGGAGACAGCCTCAGCCCAAAAATGAGGCGGGAGAGAGGCAGTAATCGGCAATGCACGAGCCGTCTCAAGAAGATGACGATGCTTTCGCTCAGCCACACCATTCTGAGCATGAGCACCAGGACAAGAGAATTGAGAGAGAGTGCCTTCCTCAGCAAGAACACCACGCAACATCTTAGAGATATACTCGCCAGCAGAGTCAGCACGAAGAACACGAATGGGTGAAGAGAACTGAGTATGAACCATGGCAGCAAAACGCTTATAAATAGACAACACCTCACTACGAGAAGTCATGAAATAAAGCCATGTGTAACGAGAGAAGTCATCTATGAAAATAATATAGTATTTATGACCACCTTTGGAAGCGAAAGGAGCCGGACCCCATACATCAGAATGGACTAAATCAAAAGGACGCTTAGACACTGACTCACTATGTGAATATGGTAACTGAATCTGCTTGCCAAGACGACAACCCTGACACTCTAAAGAGACATCTCCTGAGACAGACCCCAGAAGGCCTCGACGAACTAAGGACGACAACGGAGAACCACACAGATGACCAAGTCGATGATGCCACTGCTTGAAGGAACCAGTAACAGAGGCGACTGAAGCGGAGGAACTGGCGATAGTGGTGGCAGCAGAAGGAACATGAAGCCAGTCCAACTCCCAAAGACCTTGAGAATCACGGCGGCGAGGGCCAGCCCCAACCAGAGTGTGCGTGCGACGGTCCTGGACAGAACAAGAGTCAACGTCAAGTATGACGCGACAACCAGAATCAGTAAGTTGACCAGCAGAAAACAGATTCATGGTGAGTCGAGGAACATGAGCAACATCAGGAACAGAGTAAGGAGTGGTAAGAGTGCCTCTACTAACGACAGAAAGTGGA